TCAAGAGCTCTAAAGGAACTCAAATGTGAAATGGCAGAACTACTAATTGTGGAATGTAGCCTATTGCTTAAATCAGATTCTGCACCAGATGACTGGAGGATAGCTAATGTGATGCCAATTTTTTTAAAAAGGCTCCAGAGGTGACCCTGGCAATTACAGGCCTGTAATCCTGACTTCAGTACCAGGCAAACTGGTTGAAACTATAGTAAAGAACAGAATTATCAGACACAGAGACGAACACGATAAGTTGGGGAAGACTCAACATGGTTTTTGTAAAGGGAAATCATGCCTCACAGATCTACTAGAATTCTCCGAGTGTGTCAACAGACATGGACAAGAGGGATCCAGTGGATATAGTGTACTTGGCCTTCAGAAAGTCTTGGACAAGGTCCTTCACCAAAGGCTCTTAAGCAAAGTAAGCTGCCAGGGGATAAGAGGGAAGGTGCTCTCATGGACTGGTAACTGGTTAAAAGAGGAAACAAAGGGTAGGAATAAATGGTCAGTTTTCAGAATGGAGAGAGGTAAATAGTGGTGTCCCCCAGGGGTCTGTACTGGCCCCAGTCCTATTCAACATATTCATAAATGATCTGAGGAAAGGGGTAAACAATGTGTAGATGATACAAAATTACCCAAGATAGTTGAGTCCAAAGCAGACTGTGAAGAGCTACAAAGGAATCTCACAAAACTGGGCAACAAACTGGCAGATGAAATTCAATGTCGATAAATGCAAAGTAATGCACATTGGAAAACATAATCCCAACTATACATATACAATGATGGGGTCTAAATTACCACTCAAGAAAGAGATCTTGGAGTCATTGTGGAGAGTTCTCTGGAAACATCCACTCAATGTGCAGTGGTGTAAAAAAACCGAACAGAATGTTGGGAATCATTAAGAAAGGGATAGATAATAAGACAGAAAATATCATATTCCCTCTATATAAATTCATGGGTCAGGGCAGCCCCACAGGGACACACACGGAGCAGGAGACGGGAACAAAGGGGATTATTATCGAGGAACACAGGGATTGCTACACTGGATCAGACCCCAGATCCACTTAGCCCAGGCTCCTGTCTGCGCCAGTGACCGGCGCCGGCCGGGGCAGAGCAAGGAGCAGAGGCAGAGCCCGCAGGAGCAGCTGTGGGACAAAATCTGCCCTGTGATCATCAGAGATCAGCTCAGGCCCTGCAGTGCGAAGTTTGAGATCCCTGCCCATTGTCAGCATGAACCAGTCTAGCCCTGGATAGTCTGTGAGACACAGATATGGCCTGTCCCTCTGTGAGTTTTACTTAGTTCTTGGGCTCAGTGACGTCCTGTGGCAGTGAGTTCCACAAGCTAATTATACAGGGTGTGGGGGGAAATATTGCATTTTATCAGCACTTCCCAAACAATTCTGCCAACCTTCTCCATCAGGTCCCTCTTGAGAAGTCACCTCTTCTATAAGGCATACACACGATAACCAGCCCCAAATGTTAAAACATCATGAATTACGCCTCCTAAAAATCATGAGATTGGCTAAAAGATCACGAGATTTACAAAAATGGGGGGGAGGGTAATTTGGTTTCTGAGTCTTTAGGGTTTGTAGTTTTAAGCTTTTCTTTGCAATCACCAGGGTGACACTTGTTTAAAAAAAAATGCTGAAATTCTCCCCTACTCCCAGGACTCCAGGAGCTGGGACTTTATGACAAACCCCCAAATATCACAAGACTTGTGACAAAATTGTGAGAGTTGGCAACGCTGTGACCCACTGCTGCAACCCCTCAGCCCCGCTTCGTTAGGTCAGCTCATCAGGGCAGGGGCTGTCAGTCCGATGTGTTTGTCCCGCACCCAGCACGACAGGGCCTGGGCTGGGCTCTGGCCTTTCGGTGTAACCACAATGGAAAATCCGACTCCCTTAGAGCAGCAGAAGTAGCTCAGGGTCGCAGCCCTCCTGCCATTGCTAGCGCTCCTTGCATCCTAAGGGGCCTCACAGACCATGACCAGCACACGCAGCCCCACGGAAATCCAGCCACCTCTGGGGAAGAGCGCATCATCCAGACACTGGGTGGAGACGTTGGCCAAGGACAGTGGGGCAAAGCCCTGCTCCTATGGAAAGTGCCTTGTGGGATCTGTAATATCCGCGCAGGGGGCTGGGGATGTCGGGTCTCACCCAGGGACCCCCACGCACTGACCTGTCTGGTGGTGCAGCCAGGGGGAGGAAGCTGCAGTTTCAGGGTCCCACCCCGACGCTCACGGCCCCGAGCCGTCCCCTCTGGCTGCTGCGTCTGGCCATGGCTGCCTGACCCCAGCACGGCCGAGCCGACCCTTCCTCAGCCGGGCCGGGGGCTCTTTCGCTCACCCCGCTGGGCCTTTCCCCTGGCGCTGTCCAGACTTGGGAGCCCCCTTCCCCCTTACAGCACTGGGGGGCCGTGTGTCTCTGGGCCAGGGGAACAACAGCCCCCACTCGCTGGGG